TAAAGGTACTCCCCTGTGTATCTTCGATGTCAGCCATTGGCAGCTCATGCGTGACACCTGCCGCTTGCTCAGGCCCTTTGAGGAGGCCACGCTATTCGTGAGTCGGCAGGACTATGGGATGAACGACGTCATTCCTCTGTTGCACGTCCTGGAACAAATGCTGTTAACAATGGCTGGTCAGGATGCGGTAGACATGGCGCACAGATCTCAGCGCCACATGACCCCTGTGGGGGCAGGACAGGAAGAAGAGGAGGAGGTAGAGGAGGACATTGGTGCTCAGGAATTTTTTGAGTGAAAATGGGTGGTTTTTCCACTCAGCGGACAGGAGTGGAGGAGCAGGAGCATCTGGTAGAGGAGGAGGAGGAGACAGAGGACCCAGACGCACCGTGGCAGTATTCTGTGGAGATGGAGGCAGGGAGTCCCTCGCATTCCTTGGCACAAATGGCCCATAGCATGCTCGGTTGCTTGCGTAGCGACAGCCGAATAATAACCATCAGACAGAGGGATGACTTTTGGCTGTCCACCTTGTTGGACCCTCGCTACCGTTCAAAAATGGTGGCCTTTTTCACACCTGCTGAGAGGGAGGCCAAAATAAAGTACTATAAAAACCACCTATGTAGTCAGTTGGTCTCTGCCTTTCTGCGCCAACGTCCATCCTCAGACACTGTGGGCCCTGTGCGCTCGCGTTCCGCTGCCATGGCAGCAGGGGAGGGGTGGGGTGGTAGGAGCAGTGGCAGCTCCACCAGCAGCGGCTGCCTCAGTCTGCAGTCGATGATGAGTAGCTTTCTTCACCAGCGCAGTGAGGAAACTACTAACCAGCCGCAGCAGCAGCAGCATCAGGTGGACCTGGAGCAGGACCTCAAACAACAGGCTTGGGCCTACTTGGACAGCACCCTGCCAACCGAGGTAGACAATCCCCTTGACTACTGGGCAACGAAACTTGGCCTTTGGCCCCAACTAGCTGAATTTGCCCTTGAAAGGCTGTCATGCCCGGCCAGTAGCGTGGCATCGGAGCACGTGTTTAGTGCGGCAGGAGGTATTGTAACTCCGCGGAGGACACGACTGTCCACCCAAAGTGTGGAGAGACTCACGTTTGTGAAAATGAATCAGGCGTGGATTAGTCTGGATTTCAAACCACCAGTTCCTGACACAACTGACTAAATCCGCCATGAATCATGCCCCAAACATGTGCCACTTTCAGGTCTCCTCGCACTGCTGGTGGGTTCCATTTTTTGTCATAGGGTGCTGGCAGATTACGGGCCTCCCATTGCTGCTGCCAGGCCCGTAATCTGCCATGGGCCTTTGTACCGCCTCCTCATGCTGCTGCCAGGTCCAGAGTGTGTCATGGGTCCCTGTACGGCCTCCCATTGCTGCTGTCTCCATTGCCACACTCTGCCATGTGCCACTTTCAGGTCTCCTCACACTGCTGGTGGGTTCCATTTTGTCATAGGGTGCTGGCAGATTACGGGCCTCCCATTGCTGCTGCCAGGCCCGTAATCTGCCATGGGCCCCCGTACCGCCTCCTCATGCTGCTGCCAGGTCCAGAGTGTCTCATGGGTCCCTGTACGGCCTCCCATTGCTGCTGTCTCCATCGCCACACTCTGCCATGTGCCACTTTCAGGTCTCCTCACACTGCTGGTGTGTTCCATTTTGTCATAGGGTGCTGGCAGATTACGGGCCTCCCATTGCTGCTGCCAGGCCCGTAATCTGCCATGGGCCCCCGTACCGCCTCCTCATGCTGCTGCCAGATCCAGAGTGTGTCATGGGTCCCTGTACGGCCTCCCATTGCTGCTGTCTCCATCGCCACACTCTGCCATGTGCCACTTTCAGGTCTCCTCACACTGCTGGTGGGTTCCATTTTGTCATAGGGTGCTGTATGGCCTCCCATTGCTGCTGCCTCCACCGCCACACTGTGGCTCCACACTCTGGTTTTGGCCCCGTGACTGCCCAAATGAGTGAAGTGTGCGGTGATTCTAAGATCGACGGCACTCATCTGCATGTCATACTGACTGACAGTATTATTTCTCTTCCCCAGCAGACTCCAAGGGCATTTAAATTAAAGGTACAGTGTTCTGCACTAATATAAAGGCTCTCTGAAGCCTAGAAACACCCTTTTATAAGTTAAATTCGCAGCAAATATATTCGCCTCGAATCGAATTTATTCCTCGAATTCGCCGAATCAGCCGAATCAAATTTTTGAATACTTCGCTCATCTCTAGTTACCATCAATGGTAGAAAAAATTGGCCAATTGTTGTCCCGTCTACAGCCGGCATTTAATTACTTCTGTCTTGACATGAAAAAGTATTGCGATTGCAACAAATTTTCCATTTTGTATCCATTTCAGATACAGATGTTTTTATTCGGATACAAATAGATACATTGTTGCAACCACAATACTTTTTCATGTAAAATATAATAGCAGACTGGAATTCTTTTTCTTCTTCTTCTTCTTCTTCTTCTTCTTTTTCTTCTTCTTTTTCCTCTTCTTGCAGGCCACAGCTCATGCGCAGATTTTTTATCGGTAAAAAGATCAGCCGATTTGCCCATCATTGGTGAGAAAATCGGTCCGAATGTTATCTGTCCGAACAGCAAAATTGGCAGATTTGTTTCCAACTTCACCAATAAAAAAAAATGTGCCAAAACCCCAAAAATGGCCGACCAATTAACCCATTAACGGTGCGAAAATCGGCCGATTTTTTTTTTTCGGCCGAAAAATCTGCCGATTTTAGACCCGTCTATGGCCTGCATTAGCCTCTTCAGTGACTAGAAAGTTAACAGACATTGGGTCATAAATACATTAGTTGGAATCTATAGAATATGCATATCTGTCTTTCAGCAGAACCCATCATCCTGGTATGTTCCATGGCTTCTGAAATCATGACAGTATAGCAGAATAAAGTGATATTCACCTTCATCAGTTATTGGGTACCATTTTGAACCCAAACACTCCTGGTTGTCATTGGTGATGAAATGCGCACTGGAACGTGGCGGCCATGTTGGAAACATCTACCTGGTTTGGTGATATGCTGTTTTTTATTTGATTTGTGTACGTGCAATATTATAAATAAATGAGTTAATTTGATCAATTTACTGCACTATGAGGAGGTCTTTCCTTCTTGGGCTACCATCTGCGTAGATTACTCTTGCCCATTAGGTTGCATTACTTTGGAATTTAGTCCTGGAGGAGATATCTGTGGGGAGTCCTTTTCACTGATGTCCACATTGGTACAACTCTGCGCAGTTTAACCATTCCTTTATAAGGGGGTCAATACATTTTGCTAAGAGGCTGTGTGTTTGGGCTGGTGAAGGCTCTCCCTCTTTCAACAGTAACATCTATAGCTCAATCTGTTGAAGTTCTGCGGGTGGACTTGCTCACACATTTTTTCCATCTGAAGTGCACGATTTGTTTCATGGAAAGGTCTGACTTTATTGGATTGTTATGATTTATTATTTGCACTGCAACTTTTTTCCTGTATGTCTTATATATTGTATCCTGCAATATTGTGCTAGCTGCTGATTTTTTTTTTTTTTGTTTTTAGGTTATATTTTTATAAGTTTCTAACCTAAGCATGATTATTTGTGGTGTTAAAATATGCATACACCATACACTGTAGAATAATGAAAAACAGGTTCAGGATGGCAAAGAACATGCATAAACATGGATCCTTCATAGCAATGTCTGTGTGGCTCATTCAGGGTAACATGTGGCTCAATAGAATACTCTCTATAAGACTCTATACAGAGCACAACAGGGAATCAGAGAACAATGAGAATAAAGCTGAGAATCACTTCAGTAAAACAGTTTAAAACACAGTCACATGCAATTATCCTCATAAACCTTATCTTTCAAAGTGAAGACCATAGTAGGTGTGGTAATAGGTGAATAGCTTTAGGAATTTAAGGGTAAAGAACTACCCCAGTGAAACTGGAGTACTTTCCTTGGTAACAATCATGTATCTGGGTCTTCTAGAGAACCTGCATGCTATTAAGTTCTGGCCTGGCTGCCTGCATGCTGGTTCTGATAGTGGAGGGCCTCTCACCTGTCTGCAGATCACGTGTTTGGCTACCTCTGCCACACCACCTCTCTGAGCGTCTAAAGGGAAGAAGCTGATGAATTTATTCTATTCTACATTCCTAGGAACCCAGAGAGTTGTGAAAAACGTAGTTAAAGGTACCTGGTGAGTAAACGGGCAATCTAGAGCTTGCCCCAGCATTATTTTTTTTCTTCACCTTGTTGCTGAAACCACTTTTATAATTCCTTGTGACCTCATCATAAGAGCTATATAATTTTTTTCAGGATAAGCTGCCAAGAAATCAGTTCCTAATGAAGAAGGTGCTCTCCTAGAACTACAGCTCCCAAGAGCCCTTTACCTATACACAGCGTGGAAAGGCTTTTGGGAGTCAAGACAGCAACATTGTTATGTTGGGATCAAATCAATGTATATATACACTATATTGCCAAAAGTATTGGGACACCTGCTTTTACATGCTCATGAAGTTTAATGGCATCCCAGTCTTTGTAGGGTTCAATTTTGAGCTGGCCCACCCTTTGCAGCTATAACATCTTCATCTCTTCTGGGAAGACTGTCCACAAAGTTTAGGAGTGTGTCTACGGGAATGTTTGACCATTCTTCCAGAAGCACATTTGTGAGGTCAGGCACTGATGTCGGATGAGAAGGCCTGGCTCACAGTCATCCCAAAGGTGTTCTATCCGGTTGAGGTACAGGCCAGTCAATTTCCTCCACCCCAAAGTTGCTCATCCATGTCTTTATGGACCTTGTTTTGTGCACTGGTGCACAGTCATGTTGGAACAGGAAGGGGCCATCCCCAAACTGTTTCCACAAAGTTGGGAGCATGAAATTGTCCAAAATGTCTTGGTATGCTGAGGACTTAAGAGTTCCCTTCACTGGAACGAAAGGACCAAGCCCAACCCCTAAAAAACAACCGCACACGATACACCACTGCATCCGACGCGTTGCATTGCACTTGGTGATGTAAGGCTTGGATACAGCTGCTTGGCCATGGAAACCCATTCCATGAAGCTTTCTACACACTGTTGTTGTGCTAATCTGAAGGCCTCATGAAGTTCGGAGTTCTTTAGCTATTGACTCTGCAGACAGTTGGCTACTTCTACGCACTGTTACTCTTCAGCATGCGCTGACCCTGCTTTGTAATTTTATGTGGCCTACCACTTGGTGGCTGAGTTGCTTTTGTTCCCAGTTGCTTCCACTTTGTTATAATACCACTTACAGTTGACCGTGGAATATTTAGTAACTAGGACATTTCATGGATGGACTTATTGCACTAGTGGCAACTTATCACGGTACCACGTTTGAATTCACTGAGCTCTCAAGCGACCCATTCCTTCACAATTGTTTGCAGAAGCAGTCTGCATAACTAGGTGATTGCTTTTATGCACTTGTGGCCATGGAGGTGATTGGAACATCTGAATCCAATGATTTGGAGGGGTCTCCCAATACTTTTGGCAATATAGTGTATGAGAAGTTGGACAAAGAGGGCTGGGGGATAGGAAGAGTTCTGTAGTCCAGCAGGTCGGGCTGGCAAGGTTGCTTGGGATTTCAGCATAGCATAGACACTGTTGTTAGTGAGAACAGAATGTTAAGGGTTCACCAGATCAACAAGTTTTTTTTTCCATGCTTGCAGAGCTTCTAAATTGATCATGTATATCATTAAGCGTGTATTGAAGGGATGTAATGAATATTTGTTTTATCTTAATTCTCTTTCAAAGAATAAAAAAATGTTAGCAGTTGTGGTTTAAACCATTCAACTTACCAAAATATTTAAAGCTGAACCAGGGCTTACTTATGGGACAATGGTGACAATGCCTATTCTTAGACCAAAGTGCATTGGGAAGGCAAAGTGACATAGAAAGCTGCAAAACACAAATGTAAAAAATGTATGATGCTTGCCTGGCTGTGTAATGTGACTTGGGTTTTTAATCGCTTACAGGTCCCTTGATAATGAACAGTCCACACATATGTATTAAAACTGTTTCTTTGTATGTTTGCCTTGAGTTTTACTATAATGAGACAAATATAATTTGTTACAAGTACAGTCTGTATAATATTCAATTTTAACAAGTGGAATCTGTATCAAGACTGATTCAACAGCTGAACCTGTGCACAGCTTGGCTTGAATAATCCTTTAATACAGGTGCTATGTGTACCATGACTGCAGGGAATAGTAATGTGATAGATGTTAGATTTACAGAAGAGCAGAAAATTGGCTACTGAAAATCAAGCTAATTACAGTGAAAGAAAGGTCATGTCAAACCAAGAATGCGGGCGCACAACCTATAATATTAGGCAATGGCAGGTTTACAGGATCTAAATCACAAAGCTAAACAAAAGCTGAAGAACTACGGCGGACTAAAATGACGTTAATGACATCAAACACTGTAAGGACAATTGCTGACATATTTCAAATCACTAGAGCTTGACTTGGGATAACTATTCATATTCTGTACCACTGAAATGTAGATGTTCTCGCAGTTTGCTTGTTCACAGGAAATTCCCATATACCTGACTGTATGTGATCCTCACTAGCAGTGTAACCAACCACAGCACTGTTAGCAGTATAGACTCGATAAAATCCAGTTTATGTAAAGCGGCCTTTACATTTGTTAGAGATTTTCTAGTATGCTTAAAAATGTCTGAGAATCATTACTGCTTCATATGTTTTTTTATATATTTTTAGGAAAATGCACTATAAATACGTGTATACCAGGGTGGCACATGAACTGTTGTACTATCGGTATCACAGTCTGAATGGTCTGTTGTCTGTGTGTACTGTTACATAGTTTTGTGATATTTGCAAACTCTTCCAAAACTTTAAAAGCATCGTTAACAACCAACCAAGCCTATAAAAAAAATCTGAATATCTAGTTTTAAATGATTAAAATTTTCCAGACTTATCTATAAGGGCCAGATCACACCGCATGCAGTCCAGTGCGTTTTTTTCTACATCAAAAACTCATGGATAGTAGGTTATATGGTTTCCAATGGCATAGTTCACACCAGTGCGGTCAGTGAACTTGTGTTCCAGTTCCAGAAAAAAAGTAGAAC